ATCCATCCATCCATCCATCCATCCATCCATCCATCCATCCATCCATCCATTCTATCACTGTCAATGGAGAAGCCAGGTTCACTTAACAGCCGTGTTACTAATTTAACGACTGGAGTGATTCACTTAAGAACCGTGGCAAGGTAGGTTGTAAAATGGAGCTTAGTGGTTAAGACGCTGGGCTTGGAAAGCCGGCAGCCCAGGTTCGAGACCCAGCACCACACGACGGGTTGACCTCCCACCTCAGCTCAGCTCTTGCCAACCTAGCAATTCGAAAGCATGCAAATGCGAGTAGATAAATAGGTACCACTTCAACGGGAGGGTAACAGCGCTCTGTGATTCTCTGTGGACATGTCTTCGGACAGCACTGGCTCAATGGCCTTGAAAGGGAGATGAGCAGCGCCCCCTTGAGTTGGCAATGACTAGCGGATTAAAATCCATAGGGTCTCTTTTTTTTAAATAATAGTATATGAGGTTTGAAAAGCATTGGTGTCCTTCCTGCACCAAACTAATTTGTGCTGTTGCCATCTCCAGTGAATAGATTATCACCGAAAGAAAGGAAGGAAGGAAGAAAATATTTAATTTATGCTAAGATGGTTGCCGGGTGCATTAAAGCTGCCACCTTGTTTTTGGGCTTAGCAACATCCGTAAATTTGCAAGGGGATTCAGAAGTCCCACCAATCCTCCACCCAAGAGACAATCGATTACGTTTGGGGGTCATCCACCTGATTGATGTCGCTTTTAAAGATTAATTGAGATTGAAAGTTTGGCGACTCAGCCCATTGCTAATTTTAATCTGAGTCCTCCTGTTTAACTGATTCATCCGAAGAAGCACTACGGTTGAGTCACAATGCCTGAGTAACTGTCTCTCTCTCTCTCTCTCTCTCTCTCTCTCACACACACACACACACACACACACACACACCAACACTAAGGGGATCTCGGCTTCTTCGTTATCTGATGCTTCTATTCAAGAGTGTAGGCAGAAAAGAAGAAGAAAAAAAAAGGCAAACGACTGGATAGAAATTTCCCCGGTGGAAAGTTTTTGAGACTCTAGGAAAGAGAGCACGTGTGTGCTTGTTCCCAGTTTCACCCAGGTGGAACTGAATTATTCATATCACCTATGATTTCTCCAGTGATAAAGAGTTTGGACCCGTTTGGGAAACGGCGAGACATTCGTCAAGAAAATCCGATGCAAAAATAAGATGTTTCGAAGGAAAAGCCTTCTAGAATCGAATCGCTGCCATGTGGTCCATGATTTCTCTGCAAGCAAGATGGCAGCTCGATGATCACCTTTTTGAGCTGATGCGTGCAAGAATCTGACATGGGCCTGAGGTGGACCAGAACTCACAGTCTCCTGGTGATTAGCCTAAAGTCACCCAGCTATCTTTGATGTCTAAGGTGAGACTAGAACTCATAGTCTGCTGGTGATGGGCTTCAAGTCACTCAGCTGGCTTTCGTGGCAAAAGCAGAACTAGAACTCACAGTGTCCTGGTGATTGGTCCAAGGTCATTCCCACCAGCTTTCGAGCTTAAAGTGGGACTAGAACTCACCATCTCCTGGTGATTGGCCCAAAATCAGCCAGCTGGCTTTCATGCCTAAGGCGGGACTAGAACTCACGGCCTCCAGCTTTCTAGCCTGGTGCCTTCATCACTAGACCAAACTGGCACTCTTCCTACCACCCACACAAGTCACAGTTTGGGTACTTAATTGAATTTTGGCTGCATCCCATTCTCTTACTACTATTGTGCTCCATATGGGGCATCAGTCATTCCATCAGGAAACTCAAGATTTTTCTTCTCATAAAGAACCGTATGACCAGCTCAAAGTTGACTCAGCCTTCCATCCTTCCAAGGTTAGTAAATGAGGACCCAGATTGTTGGGGGCAAGAGGCTGACTCTGTAAACCGCTTAGAGAGGGCTGTGAAGCACTGTGAAGCGGTATATAAGTCTAACTGCTATTGCTATCTATGTCTGTCTCTTGTCTCTCGATCTATCTGAATGCAATATTGCAGGCTAACTCTTCTGCCCACTGCCAGGAGTTCGATCCTGACTGGCTCAAAGTTG